AAAAAAGCGGTGATACCGACAAACAGGCTCTCATTGATAAATACGTTCAAGAGATTAAAAATAAATTAAAAGCAGCAGGAATTACTGACAAAGAAATAGAAATTTTGGGGAATAGTTGAGAGACTAATTTTCGAATGTTTGGAAACACAACAAGTTCAGACACGGAAATTGAAAACGCTAAAACCGAAAGAATAAGAGCTATTGACGACTGAATTGCTAAAAAAGGTCAAGACAACCAACAGAACCAAACTCCCAAGGAACCAACCAAGAAGCAAATTGACGAGGTTGCAGAAAAGTTGAAAAATGCTAAAAGTGAAGAAGAATTGGAAGAGGCTTTGAAAAAAACTCGTGACATCGCCAATAATAGTTCAGACGAGGAATTAAAAAAACAAAAAGAGGAAACGGAAAGAAAATTAGGTGAAAAAAACAAGCAAAAAGCCCGAGAAATTATTCGGGATGAGGTAAATGGCGTTTTAGAAGAAAACGGAATAAAATCAGAGGATTTAAGCACGGAGGTCAAACAAAAATACGACGAATTGAATAATAATATCGAAACGAGCCAAGCCCAAACCATACGAACCGAGATTTTTAATGATATGGGAAAAAAGGCTCTCGAAAAATTAATCGCTGCTCTCGAACAAGCGATTAAAAACAAAAATAAAAATGAGTTTGAAAGCCAAAGGAAAAAATTACAAGAGTTTATGAATAGTCAAGTTGATTACAAAAAATCGGCTTATGAAAAGAAAAGAGATGAAGTTCAGCGATTATTAGACCAAGCCAAAAATCATTCTAATCAAGAAAATAGTAAAGATGACGGATTTTTCCGTCTGAATAATCCGCTAATGTGGGTTTCAGGAGTGGCAGCAGTGGGGATAGTGGCAGGAGCAGTATTAATAGTTCGTTCACGAAAGAGAAAAGCAGTAGAATAAAAAAATCTTTTTCTTGCTTTTGAAACAGCAATCAGAAATAGTAAGGCTGGAGAAGTTAAATGAGGAGAAAATAATAATAATATGCGAACCAGAACTCAAGAGGCAAGAAATATTACTATAAGTAAAAGAGAAATTAAGCAACCACTAATTACTTTTCGTGTCAAAACCAAACAAGAAGAACCAAAAATAATTAATTTAGCGGTTCATTTAGAAAAATTGACGGCTCAGTTAAGCGATGGACGAGAATTGAGTATTCCTATTGATTGGTTTGCTAAGTGGGGAGTAAAAGGAATTAACGCGAATAAATTGAAAAATTACGAGATAAA